GACCCAAGAGCCCTTCCCAAAACTCCTCCAGATGACAGCCCTTGCCTCCGACTTCGGAGCCGCCACGATCCGCCCTGTCGGCTGAGATTAGAACCCAAACTCTCCTCCAAACCACAACATGCCAAGTCTTGACCTTCTCTGGAGGCCATCCAAGGCTCGCCCGATTCGCAACCGTCTCCGATCCGGGCAGGATGAAACCAGGACACGTTTTTGCAAGGTCTCGGCTTCTTCCCTCGGGGCCAGTGTTTTACGGATCCAAATATCCAACCATAACCATCGAGATAGTAAATAAATAAAAATAAAAAATCCACCAAACAATGCTACCTTTATTGGGCCAACCAAAATGCACAATTGCATGCTTCTTTTTTGTTTTGCAAATGGATGTTCAATTGCCTGGGCTTTCGAGACTCTCCCATCGTCCACATGGCCAGGAGGCGGTGGTGCCAGCCTGCAAGAAATGCCCCTCCATACCATCCTGAAAGGAGAACAAACAACAGCAAAATGCAGACCTACGACTAATATCTTCAATTTTCCTCCTGTATGGTTTTTAACACTTTGCCCAATGAAGAAGCCAGTGGAGCTTCAAAAGCTTGCAACATGTCATTGTGCATTTTGCTTGGCCCAATAAAGGGATCATTGCTTGACGGATTTTTAGTTTACCATATGGCCAACATGGCTACCCCTTGGATGTTTTTGGTACCAACGTAGTAGGAAATTCATTGGTGCCTAAGAAAGGTTGTGATGGAACCACCCAGACTACAGTAGGGTTGCCCACAATGACCAGGTTTTGGAATGGGGTATCTTGGGACCTAAACCCCCTAAAAGCACCAGATCCCATCTGATTGTGGAAGTTCCCCCTCTTCCACGATCAGATGGGATCTGGTGCTTTTAGGGGTTTTAGGTCCCAAGATACCCCATTCCAAAACCCGGTTAGTCCCACTCTCTCAGCCACAATGGCAAACTCTTTCTTAGGATCGGAGTAAGTCGGAAATGACTCGGAGGAAGGCAACAACGACAAAGCATCACACCGCTTGGTTTTTCCCAACCTTGGCTCCGGCAATGAACCAGAAAGGAGACCGCAGTCAAGAAATCAGAAAAAGGACTAGGATTTGGAAGCGCAGCCACGGAAGAACTAGACGAGATCCTGAAGCGTCAAGATATACTAATGTTAGGATGAGCCATGCCATTGGATTTCCCATTCCTAGGTACGGTTGTGAAACCTGGCCAGGAAAGAAAGCGGATAGGAAGAAAATAAACTCCTTTCAAACATTGCGCTGGAGAAGACTAGGACACTGGGAGATCAGGATTCAAATCCCAGCTTGGCCATGGAAACCCAATGGGTGACCACACTCTCTCAGCCTCATGGCAAACCTCCTCTGAAGAAACTGGCTAAGAAAGCCCCAAGATAGATTCACCTTAGGACCGCCATAAGTCAGAAACGACTCAAAGGTGCACAAAGGTGCACAACAACGACAAACCATCACACCATTGATGGGACTGGTTCTCCAAAAGCCTTTCAATTGCATCGCTGTTTCTGTTCGCGCTCAAGGTGAAAATGTTTGGTTTCTCAAACTCTCGGTTGGTTTGTTTTCTTAAAATGGAGCAAAATCCAACAACATTCGATTCAAGTTTATTCAAACAATGGGTGTGTGTGTGTGTGGTTTTTTGCCG